GAATCATTTTCAGAGAGGTACTGGGTAACTACCTGCGTGTGTGTGTGTGTGTGTGAGAGAGAGAGAGAGAGAATATGTACATATACATGCAAATATGCGTAGGCAAACACACACACATGAAGAGCGTTTATATATTGTTAGAGTCCCTATCTACCTTCATGCTAACATGAGCCTTGCAAATGTTTAAGATATACACATATCTTTACTTCCATTAATAGGAAAATTGACATAAAAGACCATAGTAGGTTGGGCTCGGTGGGTCAGCCTATAATCCTGGCACTTTGGGAGGCCGAGGTGAGTAAATTGTCTGAGCCCACAGGTTCCAGACCAGCCCAGGCAACTTGGTGAGACCTCATCTCTACAATAAATAAAAAATTTGGTAGTGTACACCTGCAGTTCCAGCTACTTGGAAGGCTGAGGCAGAAGGATCGCTGGTGCCCAGCAGGTCAACGCTGGGATGCTGGGGTGGCTGTGAGCATGCCATTGTACTCCAGCCTGGGCAACAGAGTGACTCCAACTATAAAAAAAAAACCATCATAAATGTAGAGGTATCCAAAAAGTGTGTTTTTCCTTAAATAGGACAATCCAGTTGCCATCTCAGGGCCTCGGCACTGGCTGTTTCCGTCTGGGATGCTTTCCCTTACATGTTCCTATGGCGCCTTCTTTTAGCCTCCTAAAGTCTTGGTTTCAATGTCACCTCTTCAGCGAGGCCTTTCCTGATAACCCTGTTTAAATTTCTAAACCTTTTCCCTCACTCATCATGTTCCCTGTATTCACTTTTTTTTTTTGAGTTGGAATCTCACTCTGTCACCCAGACTGGAGTGCAGTGGCACGCTCCCGGCCACCACAGCCTCCAACTGCTGGGCTCTGGTGATCCTTCCACCTCCGTCTTCCAAGTAGCTGGAACTACAGGGGCGCGCTACCACACCCGGCTAATTTTTTTGATTTACTGTAGAGATGAGGTCTCGTCAAGTTGCCCAGGCGGGTCTCGAACCCATGGGCTCAGGCAATCCACTCACTCAGCCTCCCAAAGCGTGGGATTACAGGCTGAGCCAAGGAGCCTGGCTTCCTGTATTCACTTTATTGCTTACATTATTTTTCATCAAAATATAACATGTAAATACTAAGTGCTTAACTCATTTATTATGTTGATGGGCCTTCTTCCTTACACTGAAGTATAAGTTCCATAAGACCAGAAATTTGTTTTGTTCATTGCTATCACCAAAGCACCTTGACCAGTGTCTGGCTCCATAAGTATGTATTAAATGAGTGATTTATCAGTCTGGCTGCTATCTGGAGAAGGCACTGTAGGGTAGCAAGAGGGTGAGCAGAAGTCCAGACAGGTGGGTACCGAAATTGTCTAGTTAAGTGTTAGGAGTAGCCTCATGATTACACAGGGGGTGGAAGAAATATAAAAGGAGCAAAATAAATGAACTGGCCCTGTTGGAGATGTGTGGAACCTGCGGCGCAAGCCCTACCCCCAATCCTGTAAAAGCTCCTGGCCTCTGCTGTGGCTTGTCTCAGCCATGTGCACTAAGACATCTGTGCTTTACCAGACTCCTTGGACCTGGAGGCTTATTGGGGTCCTGGTGGATATCAAGCTGTATAAATCCTGTTAATAAACTAGGGAAGGCTAAAAAATCACTCTAAGGCAACAGGGAGTATGGAGTATTTTCAGTATTATCATCACTCGAAAGTCGTAGGAAAAACAGAAAGGCAGAGAGAGATGTGTATTGCTTCATGTAAAATAATGATAGCAGCTAACAACCATTGAATTCTTCTTACATCCGAGCATCATGTTATGTACTTTATAAAGTCTTTATTTAATGAGACCGCATAATGTCAAAAATCAAAAACATTTTTCAGTCCTGGAAGAGTTATTACAGTTTCTGACCTGTAATGCTCAAGTTCCAAGCCCACAATACTTCACTAATTCTGAGTAAAGCTACTCTAACAATTTTTCATTTTCTACGCAGACAGTCATGTAATCTGGGAAAAATTAAATCTTCTCCCATCTCAAAAGCCTAATTGTATTGATCACCCTTTTGGAATAATATTAAATAGCAGTAATAATAGTAACCATCTTTCCTTGACTCTGTTATTAGTGGAAATTCTTCTAGTATTTTATCATTATGCTTGGTACAGTGCTAACATTTTGAGTCAGAAATAGATAATGGATATTGATTAAATACTTTTGAAAAATCTATTTGGGCCGCGCTCTGTGGCTCAGCCTGTAATCTCAGCACTTTGAGAGGCCAAGGCGAGTGGATTGCCTGAGCCCGTGGGTTCGAGATCAGCCTGGGCAACTTGGCGAGACCTTGTCTCTATAATAAATTTTAAAAAGTTAGCTGGGCGTGGTAGCACGCACCTGTAGTTCTGGCTTCTTGGAAGGCTCAGGCAGAAGGATTGACAGAGGCCAGCAGGTCAATGCTGGGGTAGCTGTGAGCATGCCACTGCACTCCAGTCTGGGTGATGGAGTGAGACTCCAACTCATCCAACTCAAAAAAAAAAAAAAAAAAAAAAGCCACCTATCTGGTTGAGCATATGACCTGTGACCTATTAATATAATATTAATAGATTCTAAATAGTGAAAGATTCTTTAATTCCTGGACAAATCCTTCTTGGTCACGGTATCTAAATAAACAGCTATGTTTAAGAACATTAAGTCTTGGCTCTGATATTACAGTGACCCGATGGGGTAAGTCTGCTGGCAACAAATTTTTAGTTTTCTTGATATGAGACTGTCTTTATCACAACTCCATTCCAAAAGGATATTTGCTGATACCGTACTCTGGGCTTATAGCTATTTTCTTTCAGCATTTTAAAATAATTGGTCCAGCCGGGCTCGGTGGCTCAGCCTCTAATCCCGCACCTTTGGGAGGCTGAGGTGAGTGGATTGCCTGAGCCCGCGGGTTCAAGACCCGCCTGGGCAACTTGGCGAGACCTCATCTCTACAGTAAATCAAAAATTAGCCGGGCATGGTAGTGCACGCCTGTAGTTCCAGCTACTTGGAAGGCTGAGGCGGAAGGATCGCCGGAGCCCAGCAGGTCAAGGCTGCGGTGGCTGGGAGCAGCCACTGCACTCCAGTCTGGGCGACAGAGTGAGACTCCAACTCAAAAAAAAAAAATTAATTGGTCCACTTTCTTCTAGCATCTGTGGTTTTGAATTAGAAATTCATTTATTCAAATTGCACCCCTTATAAATAATGTATCATTTTTCTCTGGTTGCTTTCATTATTTCTTGTTCTTATATTTTTAGATTTTGGTTATTATGCATCTGGGCATGAATTTCTTTGGATTGATCCTGTTTGGTGTTTGCTAATCTTCCTGCATCTTTTGTCAAATATAAATGTTTAGTCATTACTTCTTCATTTTTTTTTCTTTTTCTTTTTGGCACCAAACATTTTCTCCTTTCCTGGAACCCCAGTGAGACTAATGATAGACTTTTTGGTTTTGCCTCAGAGATCCCTGGATATTTAGTAAAGGGTAGGGCCCTTTAGGACTCTCTTACTTTTGTGGGGAAGTTATAGCCTGCTTTAAAACTTAAAGAGAAAAGCTTTAAGAGTGTGTCATCCTCCCTCAAGAGTTTAAGTTTCAAGTATGTTTTGGTACTTTGTTCCAAATAAATATGTCACCAAAGGGTAGTTTATGTATTACTTTTTTTTTTTTGAGTTGGAGTCTCACTCTGATGCCCAGGCTGTAGTGCAATGGCACACTCACGGCCACCCCAGCATTGACCTGCTGGGCTTTGGCAATCCTTCTGCCTCAGCCTTCCACGTAGTAGGAACTACAGGCACACACTATCATGCCCAGCTAATTTTTTATTTATTGTGGAGACAAGGTCTCGGCAAGTTGCCCGGGCTGGTCTCAAACCCACAGGCTCAGGCAATTCACTCACCTTGGCCTCCCTAAGTGCTGGGATTACAGGCTGAGCCACCGAGCCCGGCCTGTTTATGTACGTTATCTTACATCTGATCAGATTATTTTTATCTTGGAGATAGATATATATATATGAACTCAGACTCAGAGAGACACATAACTACTTAAGATGCTGTTAAGAGCCAGGGTTTGAATCTAAGTTTGTCTGACTCCAGTCAGCAATCTTTTCACTGTCTCATACTGTGATGTTTTATGAAAACTAGTCTGGTGTAGAATTCTAAAATTTTTTTTTTTTTTTGAGTTGGAGTCTCACTCTGTCACCCAGACTGGAATGCAGTGGCCGCTCCTGGCCACCGCAGCCTCGACCTGCTGGGCTCCGGCGATCCTTCCCCCTCAGCCTTCCG